TTCGGAGTGGGTTTCATATGATTCCGCATTTGTTTTAGAAGTTGAATGTTCATTGATTCAACAGGGTTAAAATGGGGTACGATTCGTAGATTTGATGTTGTTTGATGTGATTTAAGGTATCGAATAGGTTCGCGACGTTCGCGTTATGTTTTGGGACTTGATGGTATGTTTGGACGGGGTTCCGAGGGCACCAGGTGTGAATCGGATTGATTCGGGTCCATTTTGGACTTAGGAATAAAATAATTTTTGTATAGTTGGAATTAAATAATTTTTGTATGGTTGGACTCGTATCGGAATTAGTGTTCGCATTTTGTAAGTTTGGTCAGGTTCCGATGTTCGGGCCCAGGGGTTGACTTTTTGAGTTGACTTTGATTTTCTTTAAAGATTGCAACTTTATTATCTGGAACATTTCCTATAGTTTGTATTTATGGTATTAAGTTATTTTGGCTAGATTCATACCGTACGAAGCTGGATTTTCGCGGAAAAGACCTACTAGTGGGTTGATTTAGCTTGTTCGAAGTATCTTGTCTAACTTTGTGCGGGGGAACTACCCCTAAGACTTGGGTTGATTTATGTTATTTGAGTTATGTGAAAGACGTGTACACGAGGTGACAAGTATGTACACGGGCTAATGTGAGGTATTTTGACTGGGCTAGACTCTCAGACTCTTTCATGCATTAGACTAGAAAATTATAATATCATGTTATATCTTCCATTTTAAAATGCTCTTGTTTCTTACATGCCTTACTTAAAAACGACCTCCATGGCTGCTTCTTAACAGAGACCTAGAACCAAAAGCTCGATCCCAACCATTTCCATGGAGTCATTGGAGCCTGCTTGTTCACTGAAACAAGAAGCCTCATCGATGTTGTTATCACATACTCTATCCCTTGTTGTCAATCATGCTCTTATATGCTTTAACTGCCTTTGTTATCTTTCTTATAATCATGTTACCTCTTTTATTGTCGAGTTAGTCTTATTTGGAATTGTTATTTCATGTTGTCCTTCCGTGTGGAGTTATTCCATGTATTTAGATATAGATACTATTTCATACCATCTCTTTTATTGTTAAGCTTACGTTGTACTTTTAAAGTGGAAATTGTCATTTCGTGGAAATAGCTTCATTTTCAGTTATTGAAGTTGTTGGATATCGAGATATCTTTCCTTGTTGAGTAATTCTCATTCATATTGTTATTATTGAGATTCTTGTTCATATTGTGGTTGAGTCATGGGCTATATGTTGTGGAAACTTTGGTATTGTTAATTTTTGGCAAGTTGTGGCATATGGGCACTTGTGGTGCGAGTTATTACTGTGTTGTGTTACTGATGCACATGCGACGGTATAAGGATAGGGGTTAATGTGCATGCGGCGGCATAAGATGGGATTTATGTGTGTGTTGCTAGTAACGAAATTACTTGAAGCCACGCGACGACATAAGGTGGGCTAAAGTGCGTGTAGCTATTTCGGGAAAAAATATTTTCAAAACTATCTAAATGTAAGGCTCACACGGCAGCATAAGGACAGTGTGATTGTGACTGTGAAATGAGGGTACGAGACGGTACCTCGGTTGTGATTCTTGTTGTTATCTCTTATTTGCCTCACTTGTATTGTCCGCATTGTTCTTTTATTGTTCTTATCATGTGTTCCCTCCTTGTTGCCTTTATTGCTTTAAATTCAGTTGTTAGCTTATCTTATTGTATTGTTTTATTGTCACCATTTCCTCGTTTTCATTATTAGATTACACTATACATGTTTAGTTTTTCTTATCCTAGTAGGTGTCTTGACCTAGCCTCGTCATTACTCTACCGAAGTTAGGCTTGATACTTACTGGGTACCGTTGTGGTGTACTCATACTACGCTTCTGTACATTATTGTGCAGATCCAGGTACCTTGATTCAGGCTAAGCATCAGTGAGTGGACTATACAGTTCGGAGACTTCAAGGTATACCTACTCGGCTCCAAGGCTTCGGAGTCACCTTCTGTCCTAATTTTGTTTACTCTTTATCTAGACAATGTTGTACTAGGTATTTTTCAGTATATTCCTGTAGAGCTTATGACTCAGTTCCACCGGTTTTGGGAATTTTGTTACAGCAGTTTCGTTTGGAGTTATTGTGAGATATTGTCTTATTATCTTAGCTGTTAAATTCCGTTAAGTTATTCATGAATGTTAGGCTTACCTAGTCTTAGAAACTAGGCGCCATCACGACTACCTTAGGTGGAATTTTCGGGTCGTGACAAAAATTGACCAATTTACTTCTTGAAGAATCAAACAGATTTTTCTTTGAACATAATTTTCCCAAATAAACAGCTAACATCATTTTATTCTTAAACAATTTAGGGAAGTATTGGCATCTGCAGTTAACATATAATATTTTCTCTAGAAATTGCAAAAATCATGTTGAAAATAAGACCAAAATTTGGTCAGTTTGACCATTGGAACTGAATTAGGTCAAGATTTAGGTGAAGGGAACCGTGAATGATTGACAAGAATACCTAACTGTGAACTGAATCGGGTCAAGTTTTAGCGAAGGAAACCATAAACGATTGGCATGAATACCATATAGTTGTTGAGTGCTTTATGAATATAATCTCACACTTCACGCGAAGGCATAAAGCTCCAAGTTATCCACAATCTAAACAAGATTTCTCAAAGAATATTTATACATAAGTCTAGTATCAGAATTCAACTAAGTTATATTCACCTTCATCAATAAACAACAGAAAACTTCAGCTTTGGACACATTTATACAGGTCCAACCTATGTGAAGGCATCTTATTCTAACAGATCCCACATTAAACCATTTCCAGTCAATGAACCAGCGTCTACATTCAAGAAGGTATGGAGTGAGAGACGCTATCACAGGAATCTGTTTGTGCACCTTCAAAAACCTGCCCTTTTTTCCTTGTTTCATTTTTAATGTCATGCAGGGAAATTCACCCACTGCTCAGAATTCAGCAAGATCCCGCATTTTTACTTGAAAATTTTTCCTCTTAGTTTTGGTTCTCGGTAAGCAAAACTACGAGCATTGCTAGTATTTTGTACAGAGTGTAACCAACACTGTTATAAGCCTAGTGGTCCAATCATAGAGATGATGCCTTTAAGATATGATAATTGGTACCAAAGAATTCAATATTGTATCATAAAAGCTCGCGTGCTATGAGGCATAACTACAGCCCTAGACTAAACCAACCAAATCCAGTTGAGGCACATATAGGCAATAGCACAACAAACATTGCTCTTTGTACAGTACAGAAATTTGGAAAGAAATTAACCCGAATAGAGCGGAAAGAACATAGAGAATTCATGTAGCTGATCCTAACTGGTTTGGAGTTGAGGCATAGTTAACACCCACATGAACATAAAAGGAACGTGACATTAACATAAATTTTAGCATATAAACATAATAAGCATAACATCAATCAATGAATCAATCAACTTTTCTACTCATTAGCATTATATCAAACAAAAAATTTGGATTGAGAAATTGAAGCTTACAGAGGGGAAGCAGCGTATGCCAAGGTTCTTTGGAGGTGGAGAAATTTCAATGACTTTATAAGGCTGGGGATTTTGACCCTTATCTTTCTCTTTCTTTCTGCAGTAAACTTGGTGCATCTGTGACTGCAAATTTTCCCAGCATAATCAAAACCCAGCGGCACAACCAAAAAAAATAAATTAACAGAGGAGATGACAGAATTTATACAAAAATCGTACCTTTAGGAATGGGTTAGTGTTAGATACCATTGCCATTTCTTATCACTTTCTTCCTGCCACCTGCTTGTTTCTTTTCCTCTTTCACTCCTAAAAAGAAGAAGAAAAAGGCCCTGATCGAAACTGAAGATTTTTATTTCTTCCTTCATTCATCAACAACCCAAAAAAAGATTTTTTTTTTTTTTTTTTTTTT